GTAGTAGGCATTCCGCTCAGCTCATCATGATCAGCCAAAGACAAATGTGCACTATCATGACCATTGTCACAAATATCCAATTTACCGCCGTTTGTATGATCGACTTCATTTTGCTTACCACTAAACCTTGCTTACTGCATCACAGCTCGCTTTTGTATGCACTTCTTGCAAATGGGTGAAACACAGACGTGTTTGTCTTGCAGCTTGTAACCTATCTGTTGGCGACGTCCGACGAAAGCTGTCACATTCATTAGGTTTGTATGGATTACTAAACACCATACAGCTTTCTCGATATCCACTTCTCTGCGACCCTTTCGTCATAAATGACTGCGATTTGCTCTCTGACTTCTCTATTCCAGGGATGGGATGCAGTATACTGGCGAACTCGCTCATAGCTTGGTTAACACTGTCTTTCACCAGGCTCACAATATGATCGAATCCAGGCTCCAAACCATCTTGCTCTAACCGGGAACTAACCTTTATGAACTTTCTTTGTAGACGAACCGGTAATCTCTTGGCAACAGTCTCAAGCACGGAACTTGAATTCAATTCATCTATACAATTAAAAGACATGAGGGTATTTCTATATACCATTAAACTGTCCAAGAACTCTGCGAGTTCCTCTGAATTATCGTTTAACTGTGATCCATTACCTTTCACGGTCTCAAAACCGTTACAGGATATCATAAATGGTTTTCCAAACCTTTGACGTAGTATCCTCATAGCCTCTGTATATCCTTCGTTCGGGGACATAAACTTGCAGCACTGTATGGCTCTTGCAGCAACACCAGTGCAATATCTCAACAAATACATTAACTTCATTTCGTCATTTAATACAAAACCACTCAACATAACCTCAAACTCTTTGATAAACTGTGGGTAGTCGGCTGGGTTTCCATCAAAGTACCTAGGTTCAAACTTAGGGAGCCTTAAAGCACTACTATCCCTAAACGGCGAAGCGTGAACATCAGACTCATCATGCTGAGCATCATGCATATCATTACACTTAACAGGCAACTCATCGTTACTCACTTTTTTGTCTGCTTCCACGGTGCCACGTCCCTTCCTTGACCCAGGCATTATCCAACGTCACCTAAGGATCCAAATTGCTTTGATAATCCGTGTCCAAATAGAAGCTGGCTGCAGATCTAGTAAGTACACCTGGAAGAGTTCTAGAAGGCGCTCCAGAAAACGAACAGACGAATAAAAACTGTCGAGGAACTTAGCCCTAAGTTCCTATTGTAACGAAGACGCTATGAACCGATAATTACTATGTATCTTTCTCGACTTTAACTCCAAAATACCAGTGGTTGTAAGAAGAAAGTTATATTGTTTGGCAATTAAAGTAAAAATTAATGCAAGTTTATAAACAAATGTTTCATACAAATAAATTCATAAGGTACTTTTATTCGTATTCTTTCGTCTTCTTCGAACTTGCACACGATCGAACCATTCGCGCCTTCGAGTTGCCCACCAATGGCTACCAGTTCCAATAAACAAACGTTCAATGTTCACGTCCATTGACAACACACTTGATGAGGGAGAAAGAAAGCTGACACAAACTCTGGTTGATAATAATTATCCAAACAAGTTCATTAGGAGATATAAAGTGGTCAGTGGAATATCAAGGTCCACTCTCCAATTCGCCGCTAAGAAAGACGTGTACATCAAGTTGCCCTATATGGATGATCATAGCAGCTTGACAACTAGATAGAAATTGGACGCTGCGGTTTAAAAGACTTTTTATGTAGTTAAGATCATAATAATTGAGAATGTGAAGCCCCATATTTCATTCCAAGCCTTCAGAACAAGCGAAAAATGCTGTCACATCCCATTGTATTTACCAATTTAAATGTACGTGTGGACACACATACATAGAAGGGAGGACTCATCGATCTCTGCAAGTAAGAACTGGCTTCACAGCATATTCCTAGATGGCTTCAGAGGGAAAGAGAATCCTGAGAACCCATTAATGAATGGTGAGAACAGACGACAACCTAGCTCCTCTATTGTGAAACATATTACAGAGGAGACAGGACATAGAATTGATGTTTACATACGTCTTTTAAACCAATCCATAAAACATGTTTGGGTTAGGATGCATCCTAAAGTTTGTAGAAGCCCTAGGCGGCAATTAGGAAGTTTTTATGCATTGTAAACGTTCCCTGGCAAACTTTGTTTTGATACTAGACAGGGTAGACGTAATCTTCATCAGTACGCACCCCCCACTACCCGAGTTCGAACCCAAGACCTTACGGTCATTATACCGGCCTTTGTTGGGAGCCGATCCAAGGCCAGTTCATGAATTCTAACTTCTCCCAATTTATGACATAGTAACCAGAAGGTCCTGTGTTTGAGACCCAGTGGGCGCGTACTGTTGAAGAGTCACAAACTGGGCTGGTGAAACAGCTGTGCATTACTCCCTGCAGGTTTTCCAGTGGTTCCCTAAATGATGTCAGCTCATGATAAAACCCTCCTACCAATCAAACAAAATCCCTACAAAAACCAATTCTTGGAAAGTTAGAATTCTCTGGTAATTAATTTGATAACTCAACATATATATATATGCATATAAAACTAGAAATTCTACTATTCAACACAAGGATAATTGTGTAGGAAGATGTCATTATCTTCAGCGTGCGAATTTATGTTGAGGAAAGAATAAACCAACAGATTTGTCAACGCCCATACTTATCCAAGCTAGAAGTCACATAGAAGAGTTGTAAGGATAGAAGACGAAAGACTTGGTATAGCGAACGTTTATTTGGAATTTGGTATCTCTATGCAGCGACATTATGTACACATTATCTCCTAAAATCGTCATTTGCACAGATCTTCCGTGTTGTGCTACTTCTGCCGTCCCTTCATATAGTGTGTGTTTCTTTGTCTTCCCTTCCGTGTCTCCCCTGTTTTTTCCACAACTCTGAATCATTTGCTCTGTTTGACGTCAAATCTTTCTCCTTGCTATTTGATGTTTTTGTGCAGATGAACGTCTCTTTATATATACTACTGATAAATCTTATCAGTAGCACACAGCACAGAGTGAGATACTAACTGCTTTTTGGAGTCGGGATAAACGATACTTATTGTCATCATCAGAAGTTAGGAAGCTCGTGTTTATTGGCCTATCTTCAATCTTGAAGGGACTGATTTCCCGCCACATATTCTGTCTAACCGACATCACTTAGGACTCCGACCGAAGATGTTACCAGACAGCTATTCAGATCTTCGAATATCCTCATGTAGAAGTGTAATTTTTACATTAACTCATCATTACTGATTGTGGTGACTGTGCCACTGCATGAAACGAGTTTGAATCTCCAAGAGAGAGAGAGAGCATCAATTCCCTCAAGATAAATGCAAATAAACGTGGAAATCTAAGTTGTCTAGAGCTTCTTACCGATTAACTCCGACCGTCTGACATGAATTCGGAGTGCAGCGTAACAGTAAGTCAACTAGCTAATATTAACACACCAAAAAACTTTACTAATATAATTCAGTCAGCACCGACAGTAAGGAATAAACATACACACACGTAGTGTCCTTTTTATTCAAACCATTAAATGTAAGGATAGGATGTTAGTTATTAATAAGTAGTATATGTTGAAAATCTTGAATAAAACTGTTTTCCTAACGAATTCGGGATATGCTCTAGCACCTCTGTTATTGTATTCGCGTTTAGATACATACAGAGAAATCTGGAAAATAATCTATGAAACAAGATGTCGTGTAATCACCTATTTAGTATTCAAGTGTTGGTTTGTAGGCATTTGATTGGTTTTAGGGTCTCATCAACTGACGTCGGTTACAGAACTATTGGAATACCAGCCAGAGAGTACTGGACAACCAGATGTTTCGTCAGCCTAGTTTAGGACTCTTCAGAAGTACGCATTCTCTTCCTAATGCCCGGATTTCAACGAAGGACCTTCAAGTTACAAGGTGAGCTAGTTCGTAGACCATTAAGTCACTGGGGCCTGCTAATCCAGCAGCCAATTGACGCATTATCTAGCGCGATCGGCACTAGCCAGTGTCACTACTGGTGAGTATTAGTCCTCATACCGACCTCCTGTACCCCCTGGTTGGTCATGACTTGCAACCAGAACCCAGGTAACTACCTAACTGCATACGCCCAGTCATTAGTGAACATCAGCTTGATATTCAAGTGTTGGTTTGAAGGGATTAGATTGGTTTCAGGATTTCATCATAAACTAACACCAGTTAGAGGACCACTGAAATATCTGGGAGTACTGGACAACCAGCTGTTTCGTCAGCCCAGTTTGGGACTCTGACAAATAGTCCTCCAACCTATGTCAGTTCATGATGAAATCCTGTAAATACTTATCATTGACACACTAACTGTTTAAGTAATCTTGATAAAATTTACATATAGTATTAAAGTTCTGTCAACTAAACATACACAGGGTTACAGGACAAGTAGGGTACAGCAGGTCGGGCGTGACGATAAATACTCTCCAGCGATGACACTGTCTAATACCAGTCACGCTGTATCGTACTTAAATTGGCAGAAGTTGGAATTCATGGGCTGGCCATTGGATAGCGTCTCAGTGGCTTAATGGTCTACGAGTTAACTTGCCTTGTACCCAGAATCCCTTGTGTTTGAACACCGGTGGGTGAGTACCTCTGGAGGGTTCCAAACTAGGCTGACGAAACAGCTAGTTATCCAATGGTTCTCTAACTGTTATCAGCTCATGATGAGATCCTGTAACCAATCAATCAAATCCCTACAAATCAATACTTAAATATACATATCCTGATAAAAAACGGCGGGGACTTTAAATCGCATATTTTCTCTCCACACTTTTCACTTGTTCGCCATTTATTCCCGGTCACTGGCAAGTGAAAACAGCATCCGTTTGATGACAAAATTTTATTACTATTATTATTATTAATATTACATGATTTCAATTAGGTTAGATCATAACACTCATAATTTTATGTTTAAATAATCTTCAAATATTGTTCCCATGGTAACATTCCTGTTAGTAAAGAGTTTTCTCAAGCAGTTTTTTAGCATCAATAACTGAATTTTTCTCCATTGGTTTACCAAACAGGGCATCGAATGCAGTTTTCACTTTAATCAACATTAGAGACTTGACAACATCACTGAAAAAAAAAATTAAAATTTGTTTCGTTTATCATTATTATTATTATTACATATAAGGAGAGGATATTTGTTTGTGAACAATCGAATAATTACAAAAGGTTTCTAAGAAAATATGGCAACTTATACTAGAAACAAAGCAATCCAATGTACTCTGCCCTCATTCTAAAAATCACTGGTGTTCCTTAATCAAGTTTTCTGAGACTTTTCTGAACAACCTTATCAATAAGTTCTCATTTTATTGCCGGTATATGGATGATACATTTATTCTTTGTGATAATGGTTCGGATAGGAGTACAATAATTACTGAATTCAATGAAGTACATCTGGCTATGAAATTCACGTGCGAAGAGGAATCACAAAACAGAATCAATTGCCTTCCTGGATGTCCTTCTTACAAGAAAACCAGATGGTAGCATAAAAAGAAATTTGCATAGAAAAAAGCACTTGGATGGGACAATAGACACATTTTCACAGCTTCGTTCCTATCAAGTACAAAGACCCTCAGACACAAATTTAGAGCTATATGCTTAGAAGAAGTAATTGAAGATGAACTAAGCATTGTATATGATACTTTCATTGACTGAAAATAGTTATCCCGACAAATTTATCAAGAAACACATGACAAAGAAAGCGGAAAAAGACTACTCACTATCTGTAAACAAAAAGCCACTTTATATACGACTGCAATTTCAGAGCGATATACCAAGTGAGATAATTGCGAAGAAGTTAAGAAAATCAGTTCAAAGAACTTTTAATTCTGGCGAACTACACGTATTATTCTCTACACGACCGATGGTGTACCTAGACTGACCACTTCAAATTGTATCTACCGATTCAACTGCTCTCCTGTGGTGGATCGAGTTATATTGGCCGTTGCTCCAGGAACTTGATTTTTCGTGCTCACTCCAGAACATCTCCCCCTATGGCTAAGTAAAGGTGTAGTGAAAACCATTAACAGTTCGATATTAGACCATCTGGTGCAAACCGGTCACAAAGCCAGCGTAAAAGAATCATTCTCTATAATCTACCGGGTGCCTTACAAATTACCGAAATCATCGAAGCACCGCATGCTCCAAACAGCAGAGGCTATTGCAATTCACCTCAAGCAATCAGTGCTCTATGCCCCTACTACTGCTCTGGTTGGCCTTTAGTAGAGACTATAAATTCATGAATTTGTAATATTATCTTTCCTAATTTTTCTGACATTCAGCTTATTTTATGTTGATGCTATTGAACTGTAATCTATTGATATTATTATTATTGATTCGATGTTATTTAAACATTAATGTTGTTGTTAATGACACTGATTCATTCATTCACTATAATGTATATGGAACTGTAGATCCTGATGAAGTTATCGAAAAGAGTATTCTTTGTTCAGCATCCACTGTTTTGAAAACTTATTAAATCTCTAATAGCAGTGTTGAAGAATTAGACTTGGTTTAACCTAATGAAATCTAAATGTTTTCCAGAAATTTGAATGATGTAAAAATGAGTATTAACCAGAGAGAGAAAGTCAGAGAAAAGCCGTCAGCCAATCAACTTCAAGATACGCCCACATATTATGCATTAAATAACCAATCACTCAGGTAAGACCTCGGTAGAATGGCGAATGCTACAAATATCTAGGCAACATCATACTTCTTAGATTTTATGCGAAGTATTCAAATACACTGTAATTATTATTTCGAATGATATTTGGAGGTATATCTCAGTTATGATTATTTCGTATTCCCTTGGGTTCTGAGTGGAATATAAGGCTTCAAAAACACATCTACACTCTGATATAAGAATAAAACTTGGGCACTGTGGTAGAGTGTAATTCCATTATGGGTAAATTTTATTTTTATAGAATCTCACAGTGTTATACAGTAATATTCACTGATGACGTTTCGAGCACAATTTATTGCTCATAATCATATCAAGTTAATCACACGACTTCCTAAATTCATTTATATAGTTCCATTGTTTTTCACTTGATTTTCACTTGATTTGATTGGTAGTATTATTTTCCATATCTCGGGTATGAGTGATGATTCATTCCTATTGCATGTGTTGGGTGTAGAAAAAAAATCAAAAAACACACAAATCAAAAAATTCAACAAACTTATTGAAGAAAAGAACACAGCAAATGAAATTGATGTCAATGCTTCATCCTCGATCGACAAAACAAAGTGGGTGATCAACCTCTCATCAAGGGAACTAAGCTCCAGTGAGATAAAAGTACTGGAGAAAGGACTAAATTTCAACGTAACAGTTAGTAAATTAAAACCAGAGGATGTCATTCCTAACACAGAAGTAGCACTAGGTTCAATAGATAAAACAACAGCAGAAGAGGTTCGAGCACAATGTGCATTAACCCTAAAAAATCAAAAGAAGGCAAAATCAAACTTGACAAAGTCGGAAAGAGAAGCTTTAATTAATCTAAAACAGGATAAAAATATTGTCATCGCAAAAGCTGACAAAGGAAACGCCACCGTAGTTCTGGATAAATCTGACTACATCAAGAAAGTCAATGAACTTATTGAAATGGGTCCATATGAGGAAATTAAGAAGCCCGTAGACACAATAATAAGGTTAAAAAATCCACAGCGGAATTAGTACGCAGAATGAAGCCGTCACTGGGTGAGTCAAAATGGTTTAATTTAATGCCTAAAACTAATAATGCTAGTAGGATGTATGGTACTATTAAAATACATAAACCAGGTTATCCCATAAGACCAATAGTAGATTTTAGAAATACCCCTACATATGAATTATCAAAACATTTAGCTCTAATATTATGCCCTATTAGAAATCGTTCAAATTCTAGACTAACTAATTCATATGAAATGAAAAATAAACTAAATGACATACAACTAGATAATGATGAAACAATGGTTAGTTTTGATATAACCAGTCTTTATACTAATATACCAGTCAATATGGCCTTAGAAGCAGTTAAAAAAGAACTAACTGCGGATACTGAACTCAATCATAGGACAAAGCTGTCCATTGAAGAAATTATTTTAGGGGTTCAGCTATGCCTCACATCTACTATCTTTAGATTCCAAGGAAAAATATATAGACAAACTGAAGGTGTAGAAATGGGATCACCAATATCCCCTATCGTAGCAGATATATTTATGGATAGCTGGGAAAATATGGCACTTAATACGTTTAATCCTACTCCAAAAATATGCTGGAGATATGTGGATGACACTTTCACAGTGTTAAAAACAGAACATATCTCTAACTTCTTGACACACATAAACTCACTAGTGGAGGGAATAAAATTCACATTTGAAACCGAAAATGAGCACGGAGAATTAGCTATGTTAGATTGTAAAATAAAACGAATAGAAGAAGGCAAACTACACACTAGTGTTTATAGAAAACCAACGCATTCTAATAGATATTTAGACTTTAATTCATCTCATCCTTTAACTGTTAAGGCAGGCTTAGTTAAGTGTTTAACAAACCGAGCAATGTCACTAAGTAGCACAAGAAAAGACCTAAATGATGAAATAAAACAGATAGAAGAGGCGTTGGTTCTAAATAACTATCCTCTAAAATTCATTAGGAAGATTGGAAAACGCCAAAATAAAAATGAAAAGAATTGTGAAACTAGTAATAATAACATAAATAAGAGAGAATATAAGTCATCTACAGTTATACCATATAAAGAGGGGATATCTGAGACCCTACGTAGGATTCTAAATAAAGCAGGAATTAGGGTGGCATTTAAACCTACAAACTCACTCAGGGACAAGCTCTGTAGATTAAAAGGACCCAGTGGACCCAATTAGACAAAATAATATAATTTACAAAATACCCTGCAATGACTGTGAGGTCAACTACATAGGTCAAACTAGTAGGTCAGGGGTAGTCAGATTGTCAGAACATAAGAATTTAGCTAAGGTAAGAATGGTTGACCCAGAGAAGATAAGTAATTTAGAAAAAAGCTCGGCAATTGCAATGCATGCAATAACACACAACCACACAATAGGGTGGGAGAGGGTTAAAATTCTAAAAAGTAATCTAGGTAGGTGGAGAGAGAGGTTGATTACTGAATCTTTGTTCATCGAATCTACACCCAACACATGCAATAGGAATGAATCATCACATCATCATCACTCACACCCGAGATATGGAAAATACTACTACCAATCAAATCAAGTGAAAATCAAGTGGACATCTACACTCTCTTCTATTCTCTGCTTTCCTCTTCAGCTGGCTACACCCACGAATGTCCATAATCTCTCATTTCCTCCTCCTCCTCAACACATGATCTCCTGCATGTCACCTCTGCACTGATGACCCACTCATCGATTCCCGTTCGGATTACACTCGAGCAGTGGCCTGCATTGAACAATCGACTCTTAGTTGGTTTGACCATCACCTCGTTTTACCGTGAGTGGATTAGCTGAGTGATAATCAAGGAATTTTCCAGAGTGTGTAGTTTTTCCATATAGCGTCGTGTTTAAGCTACCATCTGTTACTCTTTGTATTTTGCAGTCTAACACACACAGTTCCTCAATTTCATTCTCTATTTCCGTAGTGAATTTTATTCAGTCGACATGACTGTTTATGTGTGTGAGAAGAATTTCTCAACATCGCTTTTCTAATATTCTTTTTAATAATCTCACCCTGTTCCACCCACCCCACAGTGGGTGTGATTACATGCAAGTGAATGCAATACAATGGCTAGGTTAGTTAACTTAGGAGAGTCAATCATTCTAGGTGTCTAGCTAAATTTCTATGTTCCAATAATCTAGTTGACCCCGATCTACTAGTCTGACTGGCGTATATAACTGACCTCACAGTTATTACATGGTATTTGATAAATTATTTAATTTTTTCTTAACTGGACCTATCGGGTTCTTAAAGCCGACAAAGTTTATCTCTGAGAGAGTTGGTTGGTTGGTTTATTTAAATGCTAATCTGACTAATTCCAGACTCACTGAGAATCCTACGTAAGGCATCTGACATTCCTTCTTTATACGGCAGTACTACAAAG